TCCTGCCAGCTGGCCCGGGGCCAGCCTATTTCCTTCAAAAAGAGGGATATTTATTTTCATCCTTTTAGAGGCAGCCAATTCATCTCAGACCACCACCAGCTAAAAAAGCTTTATAAATTAGCAGCCTTTTTTTTTCTTTTCTTTTTTTTTTTTTTTTTCCTTCCTAATTCTCTCCCCCACCCCTTTAAATATTATTTTCCTTTGGTTGTTGGTGTGAAGGCTGTGCCAGGACAAGCGAGCCGGGGCGCATTGCGCCACACTCTCCTTTCTCCCCGAGCTGCAGAAAGACAGTAGCAGCAGTGTCTCACGAAAGCCAGAGGAAACCAAAGCAAAGCCCGGCCGTGACTGATTCTCCTTCCAAATGGCGTAAGCAGGCCCACTTCAAACATGTGAATAATGAGTTATCTGTGCCTGACTTTGTTCGGCAGCACAAGGGACGGTGCCTCCCAACATTTCCCTCCTGTGAACTCCTGGGCTCTGATTTTAGCAGCGGGGCTGGCTCTCACTGGGGCTCTGAGGGCACCTCCGTCATCCTGCGTCATGTTTGAGTCCCTTCCAGCTCCCAGCTCTGCACTGTCCTCCCTCCTTCCCCTGCACTGTCCTCCCTCCCTCCTTCCCTTTGGCTTCCCCGAATTCTTCTTGGCTGGGCATTTCCCATGCAGGTCTGGAGCTGGAGGTGGGATTCCAGGTGGAGCCTGAGCCACGTTCTTGCCTTGTGTTAGAGGTGTGCAAAGGTGAAACCAGCCCAGCACTGGCTGCAAGGGACAGGCCTGCTGTTCCCATAACACGGGAGTTTCACATGTGGCTTCTTTCTGGAGCACATGCTGGGACTTGATAGTCTAGCCGAGACTCAGACTGGGAAAAAGTTCCAGCCTCTGTGTCTCTCTGAAGTACCTATTTCGAGGGCCACGGGAGGGATTTGAAAGGTGTTTTGCACATTGAGACAGAATTTTATCCAGCGCTGATCCCTTTCTTGTGGTCCCTTCTCACGGACGTGTAGAGACTAAGGCTTTATGTGCAGGGACTGCTCCTGGTGAGCCTGGCTCAGCCCCGGAGTTAGGCTGGGAATATTTGAGCACAGCCTCGGTGGGAGGATGGTGGAATGCCAGGGGGATGCTCGGATGCTTTGAAGGAGGCTGATGTGGCTCAAGGCTGCTGTGCCAGCCCATGCCACCCTCTCCTGGCCGTGTCTCCTCCTGTCTGGGGCTGAGGCAATGATCTGCAGTGTGTGTGTGTGTGCTCGTGAACGTCCCTCGGCGTTTCCTCCGCTCCAGCTTGCCGCCAGCATTCCGCAGCCAGGCTCCCGGGGAGGGCCAAGCCACTTCCCAACATCTGCTGAGCCGGGGGCTGGGGATGAGCGTGACACCCAGCTCCGAGCCCAGCACGGCTCTGCAGCTCCTCTGCTCTCATCTAACTCCATCTGCAGAGAAATCGGGGAACTGGGGCTCCAACTCACCCCACTGACAGTTCTTTTTAATCAAATCTCTCAGCTCTGGGATTTTGGTGTCGCTCGAGCCATGAAGTTCCTGGAGCTCCTTTCTTCCTTTGCTCAATTTAATATTCTGCATCTCAGTAACCTGAGGAAATCAGCTGCTTTTGGAACTCCCCCTCCACAGCCTGGAAACACCATCCTGGTCCTGGCTTGGGAAGCCACATCAGGTTGCACACTCCTAGAAGGAAGAGCAGACTCTGTTTGGTCTTTGAAATATTTTAATGCAGAAAGCATGTCTTTAAATCATGGCTCAGAGGGCCTGAGCTCGTGTGGCACACACTGCTTCGCTGTCTGCATTCCAAGGAAACACCCAAAACTTCCAGTATGCTTCTTATTACTGGCCCAAAGTGTCAAATTCACATTGGCTCTTCCAGCTGGGAAGTGTTCAACGGGATAGTTTGTTTGATATGCTGATACAGATCTTGTTATTACATCAGGATCGTAGGTGATCTGTCAATGTTTACATCATGTCAGGTTCAATACCAGAATTAACAGATTCTGAAACCTGATCCAGCGTTAAAACCCTGGCGCTGCTGACAAGGAGTGCCCAAGGTCAGGAGCTGCCACCATTTGACCATGCTGGGCTCTGCTGTTTCCATAAATATTGACCTACAAGCCAGTGGTGGCCCAGCTGGAAATGCAGTGCAGAACCTCCAACCTCAGCTGTGCCTTTTGTGCCCCAAAACTCACAGGCTGGGGTGATTAAGGCTTCTCAGACAGATTTTTTTTGGGATGAGGGCTGGGGCTGTTTGAAGTCGAGTGAAAATCCACCCACTGGCTTCGGGAGGCTTTGAGTCAGTGCTTGGGTGAAGGTAGAAACCACCTTCCTGTTCTCTAAGGTATGAGCCATTGTTCACTGGTTTCCTCTCCGTGACAGCTGTGGGCAGATGGGGAAGGGCTTTTAATGAAGCCAACCGCTGCAGAAATTAAAAAGCTCAGGTTGTTCTGATGAAAGAAACCCATTAACAGCGATTCTCTCTTGCGTGACAAAGTCTGACGTCCCCAGCCCGAAGTGACAAGCGGCAGGAAGTCCTGGGGAGACAGCCTGAGCTAAAGAGGGCTGGCAGGCCAAGCTGGTGGTTTTTAACTCATTCTCTGCCTTGTTTCACAGGGTTTGGGGCTGCCAGGTTCCACACATGGGGACAAGGTGAGACCCAGACTGGAGAGGGGCTAGGAAGAGCCTGATCCCACCACCCCTGTGTTTGCCTTGACTTATATTTGCATCAAGTTTTCCTCTTCCTTTTCAGCAGGATAGTTTGAGGGGTTTGGGAGGTTTTGCTGGGTCTCCCCACAAACCAGCCCCTTCTGGATGTGTTTGCTCCAGGCTGGAAAAGCCCACGGGTCTGTGCCCACGTTCAGACAGCATGGGCACCAGAGCAACCACAGTGCAGCATGATAGAGGCACATGAAGCCCTTGGTGGGGCTGCATGGCTGAATAATCTTTCAAAACTTTATCAGCATAGAGATCACTTGATATATTTTTTCAGGATTTTCCTTGTCACATGCCAGATACCACCACAGGATAGGGTTTGTGCTGAGATAGAGAAAGGGAATTTAATTTTCATTAGATTTCTGGGGAACTTGGTCTTTGAAGTCCTTTTTGGCTTTCCTGCAAAGCTCTGCCCAAAAAAACTGGGTAAATGTGAAATATAACACTATTTTCCTTCTTCTGTGCTTAAATGTATAGTGCAATAATAAAATGTGGGCTAAAACAAGGCATCTCAGTGCACACACTTTTCCCCTGGAGAAAGCACTATGTGACAGATGCTGCTCACAGCTCCAAAGGCCCTGGATAATGCAGAGGCGCCTGAGGTCTGGGGACACACAGAGATGAGAATAGATTGTTTTTGGTCTTGCTTTGAGGTTTCCTTGGTTTACTTCACACAGCAGGGAAAATACATTTTCAAAATACTGCTGGGGTTTTGCTTTTTGCTGGGTTTGTCCTCCCCAAGTTTTCCTCTCTGGGGCCAGCACGTTTTCTCTCGGTTTGGACTCTCACATCCCTGGAAGTCTGGAGATTGTAGAGCTTGGAGTGGATGGTGGGGCTCACCTGGTTGTGGAGGGAGCAGAGAGGGGTCAAAGCCCCTTGGAATCTGTGGCTGGGACAGGTGTGGAGCTCAGCTGGGAGTGTGAGCTCCCCTTGGAGCTTCCCTCCCATCCAAGCATCCCCACAGCCAGCCTGGCAAGTACAGCCTGAGCCAGGCAAGTGGGACATCAGGAGATACCAGACCCTGGATTTAAGGAGGGGCAAGTGTGGGGACTTTCTGTGACTCTGCTATAAACTGACACATCTCACAGAGCTGTGCAGATGTGAGGGGGGAGGGCAGGGGGGCGAGAGGTGCCTGCGTTCATCGCCTTTTAAACGCGCTGCTTTGCTTTCCTTTTCTTCTTCAGAAGCCACCAAGGGCTGAGCTTGGCTTGGTGGATGTCGGGCTGCAGGATCTGATAAGGGCCAGCTCTCTGAAGTGCTGCAGAAGGGTTTCTTGCCAGCCTCTCTCCCGGCGTGCCTGCACACCTCCAGTGCCCCTGGGCGCTGGGATGGGGCCGGGCTGGGGCGGTGCCACCTGGGCACGGTCCCTCCGTGGCAGGTGCAGGGAGCCGGGGGTGTTGTGGGGCAGTCTGGCTGCGGCAGGGCAGGAACAAGGAGAAGCCGAGGTCTGAACCCCGCACTGATGTAAAGCTGAGGCTCCTCTGGAGCCCCTCCAGCTTTGTGCGGGTGTAACTGAGACTGGAATCCGGTCCAGAGAGAGCGAAGCTGTTTGGCGATGATTAATACAGTAAAATGTGAAAGTTACGTATCAAGTGCGTTTCATGCGCCTCTCGCCTCGGGACAATTAGCATAAATTTAATAATTACTGCCCTGTGCCAGCAGCTGCTACCTAAGGAGCTGGGAGTGCTTTATGAACGCTCATTAGCTGCTGCCCTGCCTGGGGGAGGTGAGTGATTAGTCTGCCCGTTTTATGGGGAGCAAAGAGGAACAGAGAGAAGCAAAGCGAGGTGGCCAAGGTGTGGTACCAGCGAGGGCTGATCCCATCCCTCCTGTGCCTCCTGCAGCTCCACTTGGCTCTGACTGAGCTGGGTGGGCACAGCTGGGAGGGGGCTGGAGTAAGACGGGAGTTTGTTCTTTAAACAATGAGCAAATGCTGTAGAAAATACTTAAAATTCAATTTTTGCTGGTTCCCCAGTCCCCACTTTGCAAGCACATGGTTTCTCCTGCCTTGCACGTCTCCCCTCCGTGTTCAGAGTCAGTGAGGGCTGGTGGAGGTTGGTCAGGCAGGGGCATCCTGATCCAGCTCCTTGACTGGAGACTTTCTGGACGATCCGGAGCCTCCCCTGTGGGTCACTGTGTGTCCACCTGCCCCGGGAGCTGCTCTCTGCCGGGGCTGGCACCCATTATCCTGTGTGAGTAACAGCAAACCACAGAGACAGAGGCTGGCTCCCTGTGTAACCAGGCTGCTGCAGCCAAAGGGGAGCTGATCAGATACCAGACTCTTTTATCATGTTCCAGGGCACAGACAAAAGCTGGAAGACCAAGCCAAGCCCTTCACCGACCGCTACGGAGAGCTGGAACGGCTGCGCCAGTCCATGAGAGTCACCCCGACAACACCCAACCCCCGTGGATCCCTCAGCACCCCGAGCCACTTCGGCTCCCAGGCTCAAACTCCAATCCAAGGTAACCACCTGGGGGTCCCAGTGTCACCCCCAGACCCTCGTGTTCCTGCATGGCTGAGTGGGAACAATCTGGATGTGATTTTAGAGTTAGAGTCCGGCTCTCCCCTGGTTAAGTTGCCAGGGATGGGTTTGTGTGGGTTTCTTGACCTTGGAAGCCTTTTTGCATGCATTAAGTCACTTTTTGCACCATTAGGTCTGGGTTTTGAGGAACAAATGAGCAGCAGGAGCGCGAGGGAGGTGAGAGCAGCACCCTTTGAACCCAGCAGCCCCCCTGACATGAAGGCAGCCGCGCTATGGTTATGCATCAGCCAGGGAGGGTGTTCCGTGCTTTACATGCTAATCCCAACGGTTTCTTATCATTGTGTGGGTGCCAAGCGTGGTGATCCCTCGCCCAGCTCCAGCATAATTCCCCACACGCATGCACACCTGCACGGGCACACACGCACACACAGAGCTTTGCTCTTCCCACATCTGCCAGCGGCAAAGAGCGCCCCAGTCCCTGGGCGTTCCCCAGGAATCCGCAGCTCGCTGCCAGGACAGGGGCAGGAATTGCCACTGGAGCTACCTGACAGAGATCAGGCTGCTAATCCCGGAATTTCAGTCCCAAACTAAGCAAGGCATTAAAATATCTCAGCTGCTGTGCTGCTCCTGTCTTTCTGCACAGGCAGATGTCTCCAGGATGAATTGGGAGACCATTCCCCTGTCCTTTTCTGTGCTGCTTTTCCATGCACTTTTAGTCTCACTGGTTCTTTTCCTTCAAAAGTCAGCAAAAACACTAACAGGGCTTCAAGGAACAGTATTTAAGCTGTCTGTATTTGGAATTTTGTTGAGAATAGGCCCTTCTGGGAAAGTTTAATAGAAAAAGCTCCCAAAACCCTCGTGCTGTGTTTTCAGAAGGGATATGGTTGTTTGAAAGCCTTGGTGTCATTAGCAAAGAGGGAGTTTTGGGTGTAAAAACATGTTTGAAAATGTTACCCGAACTGTAAAAGCTGCGCCGCTCCTCCCAACCCAAAATTACAGAGAAAATTTAATTTCTTTCTCATTGAAATGCAAATCCCCACGCTAGGAATTCTCATTGATATTAGCAAGGTTTATGAGAAGAACGTGGGCATTTTGTGTATGGCATTTTTTGTAGGACTATCGTTTGAGTTTTTTAAAAAAAGCAGGAGAGAGAAAAAGAGTTTTCTAGGCTTGTCCTGTTGGCCACATCATAAAGAAAGAGATTCTTGGGGGAAGAAAAAAAGATTTGTATTTTAAATTAGCACAGCCCCCTGCAGTGCCAGAAACCCAAAGAGCGCCGTTTGGAGCAAAGAATCAGGTGATGACACAAATTCAACGAGAAAAAAAATGGAGTTGGCCACAAGCTACCGCCCCTGCCAAATTCCCAAATGTCAAGTGACAGCAGGAGTGGAGACACACAAAATTAGCCTCTGAAATCATTCCTGCGGAGTGAATCCGAAGTCCCAGGAATGCTGCAAAAGGCGGTTTGTGCACGCTCTGCTCTTGGCTCCCTCGTTCCAGAGTTGGAGCAAATGTCTTAAAATGACTGCGGGTTCCTACCAGCGTAACTCGGAGCAGGAGCAGCTCAGTCATTTTCATCCCAGCCCTGTCCTTTTGACACAGCTCTGGCTATGACCAATCATAATCATCATTTTAAAACCCCTCTTTCTCTCGCACACACACACACACACACACACACACGGCTTATTCACAAAGATCATAATTTTTACCCGAGCAAGTGGAGCCCGGCCCGTGCCAAGAACAACACGGGAGTTAACAGGCCTGTAATTCTCACAACTTGGCACGTTCTTGGGTAACACACAGGAGAGGCCGATTAGTGGGAAGCAGAACGAGATACCAGCAGGGAGGGGCCGTGGGCAGGCTGGGGTTCATCCGGCCCCCGCTATCTTCCATGGGGTGCTTCCCAGGGTTAATGTTTTTAGCATCCCTGTGCAGGGATTAAGAGGGGGACAGGGAGGTTTTTCCCTCCAGCAGTGTGCCAGGGGTGCTTGGCTTCCCTGTTCTGCTGACCAAGCAGTTTGCACAAACTTCCTAATCCGCTCCTGGCAAAAGCCGGCTGGAGCTGGGATGTTCAGGAACAGCATCAGCCACTGTGGGGGCATCCCAGCACCTCAAATCCCTGCACATGGAGTTTGGGTTTTTAGGCAGGCAGGAGACAGTGTTTATCTGGGAGAATTGGGGTTCCTGGGAGATGTGTGTGCTCTGGCCCAGTCCAGCCTCTCCTCCTGAGCAGGGAAAGCCGTGGCTGTGGTGGAGATCACGGCAAGGGCGCCGCGCGGAGTGGGAGAAGGGTCTGGCCCTCAGCCACTCGCAGAGGCTTTCAGTAAAGCAGCCCCTGGAGGTTATAAATAGCCCCCATGTAAAATGATCATGCTGAGGTTAGATGGTCTCAACCCAAAACCCTCCTGCTAGGAGAAAGCCTATGGTTTCTGAAGGGCATGCCAGGAAATGTGGGAGGAGAGAGCGCGGCTCCGATAGCGAGCGGGTGGCATCCTGCTCCCTGCAGTGCCAGGGTATGTCAGTGGCTCTGGCCTTGCCTTGCCCCACTCAGATGGGCAGAGGCTTGATCCCTTCCCATGCCTCTCCCCAAATGGGATGGACACTGGCAACCCTGCACACAGCAGATCTCATTCCCACTTGTGCTGCTCTGGGAGTAAATAGGGTAACTCTGGGAGTAAATAAGGTAACTCTGAGTTCACCCCTGTAGCTGTGATGAGAATCTGGCCCAGTGCTGGGCAGGTCAGGCAGGCAGACCCCCATCACCATCCAGCTCTGCTTCCCAGAGCAGAGCCTCTGTTGAGGATTTGGCCCAATGCTTCTCCAGAGAGGTCTGGAAAATGTGAGTGTTTGCAATCCCAGCTCTGCCATCCCCGCAGCGAGACACCAAGCTGTCATTAGGATGGCTTGAAATGGTTCCTTATTACGGGGCACGCGAAGCCAGAGCCTTGCGTGCCTGCTTCACTCCAGTTTTGCCTTTTAGCTTAAAAAAATCAAGTAGCTCTCAGAAGTGAAGCAAGATGTTAAAGGGACTTTTGCTGTCTGCCTTCAGCTGCTTCTCGGGGCCCTCTGGTTCAGGGGAGGTGGGCTGGTGACAGACACACGTCCTCCCCAGGAGCAGCCCCATGTTCTCTGTGTCCTCCCCTGCCTGTGTTTCAGCAGGGGCTCAGGCTGAACCATTTTGTTCCCAGAACAGCAGAGCAGGACCGCCCACGCCCAAGTTCTGTGGTGGAAACATCTTCAACCACTCAAAAGCAATTGTGTGCCTTGTCCAGCAGCATGGAGGGGCCTTGTTCTCACCAGGACAATTGCAAAGGGATTTTAGATTGGATCTCCTCGGTGCCAGAGCGAGCTGTTTTGATTGATGCACTTCATGTCCCCTTGCACACTCTTGTTTTTGCTCCAGAGAAGCCAAACTCCTTTGATTTCACAGGGAGGACAGTAAATGTCAGATCCTTTTGCAAGTCTCTCTTAGCCCTAGTGCCTGCAGAATGGTTTTTGGGAGACTCTGTGTTCACTGGTGAAGTCTCAGATCCCCTGATCTGGAATTCACTCAGCTTCATTCCCAATCCATTATTTCAGGCCAGCACAACATTTTTATCATCAGCAGAATGCTCCATCATATGCCTTTAAAGTAAAGTCTTTCTCTCTCTTTTTTCTTTTTAAATATACATTTTTAAAGTATTACATTACTTTTAAGAAGCCTCTTGGCATAGGCAGCAAGTGCCCCTATTGTTTCCGAAATGCAACGTGGCTGCTCTGAGGTTAAGTCCTGAATTATGGGCCCAGCAAATACACTGAATTGCTGCTTCCTAATCCCTGTCCAGATTGACTTATGGTTTCTTTAAAATATCCGTTTCTTAATGGATAAAAACATTCTACCACGGGCAGAGACTAAATTGTTTCCAAAGGAAGCTAGGCAAGCATTAGTGGGAAGAAAACATATTATGGGATTCAGCTTCAGCCTCAAAGGAAGGAACACACTCTAGATGGGTTTCCTGCCTGCTTTCAGGCCTCTGTGTCTATCTTTAAACTGCTTTTCTGCTCCTCTCCTTTGCATTTGTGGTGTTCCTCCAGTGAATTTGGCATGGAACTGTCACAGATGAACCACAGAGCAGTGCTGGGCAGGAGATTCCCCCAGGACAGAGTCCAGGCACCCGCGACCGCTGCGCTTGTGCCACGGACATGTGGCCAACCCCAGCCACAGCTCAGAGTGCTGCATCCCTACAGAACAGCGAGGAACCCCTCAGAATTTTCCTCAGGGTGCCATCCTGGATTTTCCAGAGTGCTGGGATCCTCAGTGCCATTCTCAGAGCGGGATGGGGAGCCCCCAGCCGGGCTCCTGGCCGCTGGATCCCCCTGTGCCATCACCCCTCTGCAGTGGGATTCCCATGGCAGCCGTGGCCTGGCCCAAACCTGCTCGGCAGGCAAGGTGGTCTAGCTGCAGGCTGGGTTGTAAATCCAGCAGCTTCCTTTTATGTAGTCAGGGCTTGTTAATTTGTTTTAATACCCTTTGAATCCAGGTAAAGAGCAAAGCGCGGGCAGGGCGGAGGGGAGCGCTCAGCCCACCCACCCGCTCCAATTAGCACCGTTATCCATTAGCTCGGCGGGATGCGCCGGGCAGGGGGATGCGGGCACAGGGCTTCGGGATGAGCGGGGCTGTGCCGGAAGCCGGGAGAGCTGGGCTTGTTTAGTCTAGCAAAGGGCAGGCGGGGAGCGGAGCCGATGGCTCCGTGTAAATACATCGAGGGGGTAAACACGGCGAGGTTAGGAGCTAATGTAAGCTCTGCAGGACACTGCAGGCACAGGGCGTGGGCCTGAACTGGTCCTGCATAAATCCACACTGGAATTAGGAGCAGGGTCCTCCCCAGGAGGATGGGTCCAGAGAATTGGAGCATCCCAATGGATCTGGAAGGGTTTGCAGAGGAGGTTGAGATGTGGTGCATGATCCACTGAGCTGGGAACACCTGGGATTTTCCCTGC